GAGGGTCAGAGGGAGAAGCAGACTCCCTGCTGAGCAGGGAGCCCGATGCGGGACTCAATCCTGGGACTCCAGGATCATGACCTGAGCTGAAGGCAGTCGTTTAACCAACTGAGCCACCCAGGCGCCCCTGGCCAATGAAACTCTTGTGGCTGTAATGTGAGCAGAGGCTTTTACTCGTGTGTTTCTGCCATTGTGAGCAGAAGAATGTGCCCAGGTTGTCCGTTGGTCCCAGGAGAATTAAAGACCCAGCGAACAGACCTGAGCCCATCCTGAGGCCAGACAAAGCAAAGCCTATTGGCTGACGCCCAGCCACCCCACAGATGCATGAATATGAAACAAAGTCTTATATGCCACAGAGACTTTGTGGCTGGCTGTTACAGAGCATGATTCTAGCAATAGTCAACTGATATACTTTCATGGGAACTTTTATAATTCACAAGACATGTAATTTTTCATCTAGGAAACTGGCAGTGATTTATAGAGATACAGAGATAGAGACTATGAAATATGCATTTGGCAAAGGTTCAGGAAACAGTAAGAGTGTAAATTGGTAGCAACCTGTTTGAAAGTCTTTTTTTTTTTTTTAGGTGGACTCCATGCTGGGCATGGGGCTTGAACTCATGACCCTGAGATCAAGATCTGAGCTGAGATCAAGAGTCAAGTCAGATGCTTAACTAACTGAGTCACCTTGGTGCCCTCCTTGTTTGGAAGTCTTATTTGGCTATCTGTGTCAAAAAAAAAATTTTTTTTTAAAGATTTTATTTATTTATTTGACAGACAGAGACACAGCCAGAGAGGGAACACGAGCAGGAGGAGTGGGAGAGGGAGAAGCAGGCTTCCCGCTGAGCAGGGAGTCTGATGTGGGGCTCGATCCCAGGACCCTGGGATCATGACCTGAGCCAAAGGCAGATGCTTAATGACTGAGCCACCCAGACTCCCTCTGTGTCAAAATTCTTATGCTAACTCAATAATTCTATTACTAAAAATTTGTTCTAAGAAACAATTAAGGGCATGCACAAGATAATTATTGACAAGGGCATTCACTAAAATGTTATTTCTTTTTTTTTTTTAAGGTTTTATTTATTTATTTGACAAAGAGAGACACAGCGAGAGAGGGAACACAAGCAGGGGGAGTGGGAGAGGGAGAAGCAGGCTTCCTGCAGAGCAGGGAGCCCAATGCGGGGCTCCATCCCAGGTCCCTGGGATCATGACCTGAGCCGAAGGCAGACACTTAACAACTGAGCCACCCAGGCGCCCCTAAAATGTTATTTCAAAGGGTGGTGAAATGTAAATGTTAGCAGGGGACATTGTTGCTTTATAATTTCCAAATGATACACACTAGAGTACTTCTGACAGAAGCATCTGTTATGTTGAATGCTTGGCAATGTTCCAGGCAAGTAGGTCTCTGAGGGAGGACTGGGTCCCCTGTGTCCATGGCCCACCTTCTGTCCCATTGTCCAGAGTTCACCCTCAGGTCTGGCAACATGGAGAGAAGCTCAGTCATGGCTGTTGCTCACCTACCCTGTTCCTGGGGGAGCAGAAATTCTGCCCTGAAGAAGTGGAGGCAAAAGCGGAAACAGGAGGGGTTCTCCAGCAGGGAGGGGGTGCAGACAGGTACTGGGGCTCTGGCAGGAGCCTAGAGCTACGGTGGGAAGGGAACAACATTGTTCTAGGGAAGCTACAGAAGCATACTGTACTGATTTCCCAGGCCTGCTCCCATGTGATCAATGAGTGCCCTTGATGAAGCACTTACCCATGATCTTAGTTGATCTCCAGGCTGGGGCTGAAACAGACAGCAGTCATCAAAGCTCAAAGGGACAATCTTCCTCCAGGTCTCCAAATGAAAACGAGATATAACATCATGATGCTGTGCTGTTCTAAGTTCTTTGTACACATTAATTCATTTAAGATTCATAAGCCAAAGTAGGGAGGCCCTCACCATTATTCTATGGAAAGGGAGAACAGAAATGCAGACAGGACATGGCTAGCTTGTGGCAGAGCTGGGACATGAACTCAGGAGTGTGTCATTCAGGTTTCATATGCTCAGCCACTATGGCTTGGATCCCAGCTGGCTGTCAGCCTGGCTCTCAAATACCTTCTCTGCCTCACTGCCTTGCTCTGGAGAAAGGAGCAGACTGAAGGCTGGGAACAGGTGGATTGTCCTGGCTGGCCACATCAGGGACTGCTGCAACATGTACGATTACTTCTTAATACCAAGATTCCTTTGGAGCAGGGCTGAAGCAGAGGATGATCCTGGAGAAGTGTGAGCTACAGATTTCTCCCCAGGCATGAGCCTAGTCACCTGTCGTCTCATTCTGGGGGCCGGGGGCGGGAGGAAGCAGGAAGCATGCTGGGTTATCACTGAGTCTTCATTTTCTTCTCCCCCAGAGCCCAGGCCTGCCTCTGTCTATTCACGGAGTTTGTAAGTCAGCGTGAAGGCCCATTGACTGAGGATGTGTGACTTTGTTCCCCCTGGATGCTGAGGGCAATGGAGTACCAATGCACAATGCAAGGACATACCAGTCTCCATGGATTCTTGAAACACAGGTCAGTGCCCTAGCCCCAGTCCTATGGTGATTTGCTTATTTCGCTTCCAAAGAGTCCTAGGAGTCCTTACCCAGTTCCCTAGGACAGTCTTACAGGTAATGTTAGCTGATGCTAAGAATCCTGTACCCATGAGTCTTTTTTTTGTAGCGTCCTTTGCTTAGCATCCAACCAGTCCCTTCCACTCTGGCTTTGAGACAGTCCTTTGTTGGACATGCAATTTCTGGCTTTTAGCTTATAATGGATCTTCTGGCAAGCATGGTAGGAAGGCAGAAACCATCTGCTAAAGATAAGAATGAGTGTTTAAATTATAACAGTAGCCAGCAATATCAGAATGAAGAGAAGTAACCTTTTGTGGGGTTTGATACAGAACATCACAAGGATGTTCCCAGGGGGCATGAACACATTGACATAGCCAGGCTTTTCAAGTCATCCTGTAAAGCGTCCAAACTCTAAAATGTTTTTATTAATATAATATTTTATTAATGCTTTGTACATGTGCCTATACAAAATTAACCTCTGAATGACTGAACTTCACTTTTAGATTTTATAGCTTTTCCTACCCTGTGGGCTGGATAAATAAGTAAGCAGGTCAACTCCTTAATGTTACACTAATAAAAAATATAGAGCTAATGAAACATAAAGGATAGCACCGTGCCTGTTATTTTGAGGGTCTCTTGCATCTGATTACCATGTCAGGGTGGTAAGGTTGAGGGAGCAACCCTCGGGGGCTGGTGGCTGTCCAGGAAACACCAAAATGGATTGGGTGTAAAACCATGCTGACAGTCTTGGTTTTTTTGAGTTTAGTGTCTGATTATAAGGAAAACAACATCTAAAAGGCTTGTCTGAAGAGACTGGCCTCTTGGTTGGGGCTGAACCCTAAGTACTTGAGAGGAAGACCCAGGCAAAAGGCCATGGATAGAGAATGTTCTAGGGCATATGAAGCTAGCCCTTTCAGGATATAACACAAATGTAGTAAAACTACAAAGCAAACCAATCGAGGAAATCATTACAACTGAAGATAAAAGTGGACTTGAGGATGGGTCAAGGGGTTATGTCCATATCCAAGGCCAATGGTTTGCACCCTTGAGATGTAGACTCAGGCACACACAGGATGTCTGAGATAATAGTGTGTTCTATTTCATAGACTGAGTCTTTACTTATGAACACATTGGCCCATATTTATTAGTGCTCTTTATATCTTACCTTGATAACCTCTCATGTACAAAATATCACATGTATTCCTTTAAGATGAGAAACGTGATTACACACAAAAACTTGAATCGCAATAAAATCTGTGCAAGCCTAGGATACAACTATTGAGTCTCCCTGGCATAAATGTCCTATGCAAATATGGTTCAGGAAAAACTCATTGTCAAGATGAGTTAAGGAAAAAGAACCAGCAAAGGATCACTTTGAAGATACTGCCCAAAAAGAGAAATAAAGGGAACACAAATGGACGAGGGAGAAGACTGTTGCTGCGAGGTACATGGAAAGCTTGACCAAACGTCTTGTATCACATGACACAAGCTGACAGAGGAGTCACCTCTGCAAACAAGGGCCACATGTTGTGATACAAGAGCTGAGGGGAAGGTGGCAGGACCTCAGAGGAAGTGAAACGTGATCTGGCAGAGCTCAGGGATGGAAAAGCCCAACTGGGAAATGATGTCCTCTGGGAGCAGGCAGTGGGGAAAGGAGAAGGGAGTTGCTGTTTTCCATGATGCAGCCTTAGATATCTGGCTCTACAAACTATGTGATCTATAACTATGATTTGAAACATTTACAGAGAGCCTCTTTCTTCACTCCCACCCAGTGTTGGAGTCCTCCGAGCGGCCTTGTGCCTTCTCCACCCAGCTTGACTTCTTTGAGGTCTCTTGGGTGATTCCCTGGGTGAGGCGGAATTCCCTTCTCAGGCACATTCAGAATTGGGAGAACCAGTTTTGGACATTGCTGATAGGTTGCAAAGGACTTAGGATCCTAATTCCAGGAGGTGGGCCAAAAGAGCCCTCTTGACTCAGATGTTATTTTTCTGGAAAGATTTTATGAGTATATCTTCTGGGAGCTGGCTTTTGGAATCCAGCCTTCTGGGTTTTTCAAAAGGTAATTCTGCTGCTTTACCCTTCTAGAGTCGCAGGAATGCTATGAGTCTGCTCGCATGTCTGCAGCAGCTGGGAGGCCCAGTATAGGACTGCTCTGCGGTGGAGGAGGCTTTCATTAGGACAAGCTGTTCTCTCCTCTTGCCCCATGACTCCCTACTAGCTGATCCTAGATCTCCTTTCTGGGGCTCCAGGAACCTTCTAGGCTCCCTCTCCTGGGCCTTTCCCTTGTTTCCTAATCTAAGCTTCTTAAACCCCAAATTCCTGGTCCCTCCCAGGTGGTACAGCCTTGGTCCCTAGCTTCATAGTCCCTGACCTCAAGGCCCTCTTTCTCCTGTCAAAAGTACCCTGGCCATCCTTTCCCCAGGACCCTGGCCCCCCAATCGAGTCTCCCATTTATTTCTGTTCTGGCTCATTGCTTCTGGACATCTGAGCACTGAATTAAAAATGGGGATGTGGGGACCTGGAAGTGATGCAGAGACAACAGTTTAGGTTATATACCATTACCATAGAGACATCCGGTCATGTGCTCTGGGTGCACCTTCATGGGGTGGGACCAGATATAGACCAGGAGCAGTGCCAGACTCCCCCCCATATAGTGTTTCTGAGCAGCCGTTCTCCTCCTGGGTCTCTTCTCTCGCCTAATCTTCCCAGACCATTGGGTCCCTGCGAAGCATCAGGTTCCTGGGGCTTAGTGAAGAATTGGGAAGCTTCACGATCAAGGAGCTGCCCCACTTCTAGCTCTGTGTGTGAGGGAGGCAGAACAAGTATCCAATAAGGAGCCCATCATAGGACAGATAGAGCAGAATAAACATCAGCTAAAGGAGATCATTGGAAGACCCACAGAATCAAAGACCAGAGTGAGTGAAGTGAGGAGGTTCACTCCGCATCAGGGAAGACCAGAGAGTGGAAAAACAAGTCTTAGAAGGGAAGCTCATGAGGAGGATTGGATGTACTAGAGACCCATGTGGCCCCAAGAACTCAATACCTCTGACTCTGGCTTAGAAGAGGCCTAAGGTGTCAAGCTGTGGCGAGGTCAGGGCTTTTAATGAAATAGCATCTGTTAAGGAGGACTGGGTGACTTAAGGGCTACCCTGCCCAAGGATCCGTGGCCTGGGCCAGTTTCTTGATGTGTTCTGGAAGCCAGTGCTTATTACCACTTTATTCTTGGAGACATGGAGTGAATCAACAATGAACTGAGCCAAAGTTTAAAAATATATGCATAGAAATGTAACAAGTGCTGAGAATATGGCCAGATTTTGAATAGAAGGCTAAAGCAGCAGAATTACCTTTTGAAAAACCCACAAGGCTGGAATCCAAAAGCCAGCTCCCAGAAGATATACTCATAAAATCTTTCCAGAAAAATAACATCTGAGTCAAGAGGGCTCTTTTGGCCCACCTCCTGGAATTAGGAAAGTCTTTCGTAACCTATCAGCAATGTCTAAAACTGGTTCTCTTGCTTCTGAATGTGCCTGAGAAGGGGACTCCACCTCACCCAGGGATCACTCAAGAGACCTCAAAGAAGTCAAGCTGGGTGCAGAAGGCACAAGGCCGCTCTTGCTGATGCTCCAGAGGGGCATGCCAGCCTGCAGAGGCTCACAGGACCAGAGTGAACAGCAGTGAAGGCCTTAGATACACAGAAAGGAAGAGAGAAAGGGAAGGTAAGAGAAAATGCAGAAATACAAAGCAAAAAGCAAAACCCATCAAAGCAAGTAAAAACTTACAAGGAGAAGAGTCAAAAACAGTAGGAAAAATGACAAAACTGTGGACCCATCTGGAACGTAGGCGAGGATCTTTGGTACCAGAGAGCCCCTGCCCTCCCCACCTCCGCTAGTGGCTATAGGGCAAACTCTGGTCAAGGGCAAGACAGAAGTGACAGCTCTGAAAGTGGTCAGAGGGGGTGGGCTCTCATGGCAACACTTCCTTTCTTTTTCATGGAGTAGAATTTGGGCTCAAAGCGGGGCCTCCCCCTGGCCTTCGTTTCACTTAGGGATTGAGAAGTTTAGTGTAAATGTAATTCTTTAAGAATGTTCTTCCCTCCCAATTTCTAGAATTTATTGTGAAGTGAAAGTTTTATGAATCTGTGTCAATGATATCTTATGCTTAAAGATCTCCCTACTTGTGTATCTGTGGCTTATTGTGAAGAAAAAATTTCAAAATTAAGAATAATAAAAAAGAA